CATTTCCCAGCCGGGGCAAGCTCTAAGCTCCCGATCGGTCTCCCGGCATGTGTGCTTGTGTAGTGTGTGTTAGTGTAAGTGTGTAAGGGTGTGTAAGGACAAGGAAGGGGTCGGAATGATCGTGCACGGTCCGTTTGTTAGGTTACTGCACCGGCATTCGCGTAGTGTTTATCGGAGAAACCACGGAAAACTACCGATCAGAGAAGCCGGCCTCTCTCCTCCAGACAGCGGCAGAATTCGACCTGGCTGACAAGCTAGTGCCGACTATCGTCTGGACACAGTCCACGACGAGATAACACAATGTGTGAAAAGTCGCTTTAGAGACCAACGCAATCACAGTGGTCGTGCGATACAGACCGTGAAACCATCCAATACAACCTCGCCTCAACAGACTGTACTCCAAGATGCTTTCTCAAAGTTTCGCTCTAGCTACAAATAAATTATTGTGCACATTGATAAATTGCAATAAAGCCAGTTTTAATAGTATTCAAATAATATGGGGAGTAAAATTTCCATACAAGGAGGAAGATAATGAATTTTACAACTTCAATGAGAAATAAATATTCATTAAGGTTCACGAGAGCGAGCTTTCATCTCAAAAGGACTTACATTTAATACAGATAGCTCCAGTAGTTGTAAATTCCACATGGGGACCCCATACACAGTAAATTAATTTGAGACACAAAAATGATAATACCCGACCATTACCTATCATTGATTTGAGACAAATAAATGATAAAAAACATTTTGTAAATTTAACGTAAAAATTTCAAAACTATCCGTTAAGTGCTCAATTGTTAACTAATTAAATTTGTTCATGTATTTAATGAAATTGTGTAATAACAATAATATTTAAACCCTTTATTGAAACGTTATAACTCGAAATGTTAAATATATAATTAAAGGTTTTTTTGCTCGGGAAAATATTGATAAATTCTAGTAAGAAAACTTGTTTTCAACTAACCTCATCAATTTTTTTTTCGTTGAAATCAAATGAAATATCTACTTAGGAAAGATGTTTAATGTAACACTGGAAATGGTAAACAAAATATTTTGTCATCAACCCGATAATATGAACCATTACATTAAATACCACAGAACAAATCAATTAATTCTTCAGCTAGGTATTGTAAGTAGAAAATTATTTTAAAAATACAAAAGTATACTGAGGAGCACCTTTGATTAAGCAACATTACATGATTTCTAAGTACGCTTTCAGGAATGGTATTTGATATCTGCTACCACCATGGAATTTAGCTTTCAGGAATATTAGCTTGCTTCATTTTCTTCATATAATTTTAACATTTCAGAGTGTCAAAATCTTAATGAGACAGCCAATATTGGTTAATTATATCTCTGGCAATCAAGTATTAATACTTTACCATCAGGGGACATAAACTCTGAGGGATGATGGGATTATCCTCAGAATCCTGACGTTAAATCGCATAACAAATGCATCAACTGATGCTACTGAATAAAGCAAAAAAATACCTCCCAACCCATATTCATCTACTAAACATACTAGAAAGAAATTCGGTACTTTCAATTCATATTTTCAGTAGAAACTTGAAACTGATTACTCACTCCTTCATAACCGGACAGTAATCAAATTAATAAAAACGTGTACAAGTTACAATTCAAAAAGGAAGTTAAGCACTTCTTGACAGAGTGGGTCCCTGAATGGTTGACAGTCTGGGAATTCCGGATACTAACGGTGCTTAATCCCTGACCTGATATGGTGACTGGCGACTGGACTTGAGTATAAACGGTTACGAAAGCAAAAGTTCCAAAAATATGGAGATAATCATCTTTGCTTTGGAAGTTATATTCTAATATTGTACCCCACACAATTTAATCTTCATTTAAAGTAAAATGTTTTATTTACCTTTCAAGAAAATAATGAAGAAGAAATTAAAATAATCAGAGCGAAAATCTTCTTTAACGGCTGAAGTAGAGAACATGTAATATGTAACGGAAGTCGTTTAAACAGATATAGCCACTCAGGTGAGGGGTAAATCCATGGGAAAGGATCGTGGAGTAGGTTTAACGGAATCCTTTGACTGTCAAGGGTACTGATCCATGTACATAATGTACAACAACAGGATGCATAATAATAATAAGAAAGGTGTGGGTGACCTAAATATATTTTAAAAACCAAACCACTGAAGTAATTTTAATCCTTCTGATTGGTTACTTTCTTCGCAACGACGCCATTTCATGTCCTAGCACCTAGTCGGAGCGCGATGACAAGTGTCTGTTGAAAAAAAGTTGAAAACCGGTAATTTTGCAGTTTAATTTCGATTTTTTTGAGGGGGTAGCGATCAAAGTGCATCAAAGTGCTAATTTTTTGTCGAATAGTTACGTACCTCACTATCTCTTGATTCTTTGTAAATTGTATTTTTAGTCGTCAAGTGTTTGTCTTACGATGTTAAGAATAAACGTGATTCTTAACATGTGGTGCTGAAAGGGGTGTTTGGCGGTGGATTCAAAACCGTTGATTGATTGCGACAAGATTTTCGAGTAGTGCGTGCAAGTTTCTATAAGGTTGGCCAAGTGGAAGGAATTGTGTGATAGCTTCTAATGGAAGTATAATAAGAAAAAGGCCATCAGTAAGATTATGTGTCTATTAGGGACGTAAGTCGCGAGAAGCAAAATAAAAAGGAGAGATTTTTTCCTGTCTTGGGGGCATCTCCAACTTACACGAAGCATGAAGAAATCGCACTTAGGTAAGTTTTACTCATTTATTTCAGAGCCCTTTTCGTAATGGTTGAAGGAAGGCATAAGGATACACCCGTTCTGTTTCCTTCTAGTTCCCGCGATCTCTCTACCCTCTCTTCCTGTCCCCAACTTCGTCTTCCTCCTTCCCCACCCTTTCTCCCATTCTCTCGCTGTCCTTCGTTCCGTTCTGTATGGTTTACCTTGTTCATGACTGTAACCGAAATATTTTTATAGCGGAAATCTATAGAAAACTTGTATGAATTCTCGCTTTTAATAACAAAATAGATTGGCTTTGTCTTTTCTCTCAGAAAAGTGAAATCTATTCAATGATTTGAACTTATTGTATCTTATCAGAAATTTCAAACACTCATTTTATTATACTTTATCGTAAGGAAAATTACGTGAAATGAAATATTTCCTAGCGTATTGTTAAGCTTGACGAATTGCTTTTGAAACTTGGTAAATGTTGTTAAAGACTTAACTTAAATTCTCCTTTCAAGCATGATTGACTAACAAGTAAGATCTCATTGTCTTAGATCTTCGAAATCTGGAACTTCGTCAGTTTCATCCGAGGGTTTAAATGAATACTGTCAAGTCAATTGACATATTGTAGAACGTGAAAAAAGTGTGTAGAACCGAGACCAAAAACAATAACAACAACAACAACAACAAACAAGAACAAACATAATTTGCGTTCATAAAAGTAAAATGAACCATAAATGAATTGAGAAGCATTTCTTGTGGGAATACGAAATAGAAATGAGGTTTTAGAAAGCGATGCCTTTTAATTTTATTAGGTACCCGCTGTCGTTAAACACATTGTCAATTGTCTCTCTTGTGGTTTAATGTCCCTATAGTAATTCACTCATAATTTCCAGTTGACTGTCTTTGTCAGACCACAAGACAAAAACGGAAGAAACGATGAACGTTCAGATTTTCACTCGTGAAGCACCATTACACCGCAAGACACTGCGCATAAACGTTCACAAACGTTTTTAAAAAATCGTAATTTTCACATATTCACATGCCACTGCTTGAAGAACGTAAACAAAAGTACAATATCACAGATTCATATCACACGATGTCATCGACTTTTGTTTGTCACACGAGTAGATGCTACAGGGATGCAAAACGTCCACTATCACATCAAGCACATCAAAATCAATTGTTTTGTGATGACGGAAAAGTTTGCTTCCCTCTCCATCACTAATTGTATTAACATTTCGATCACAACAAAACCTATTCGTAGCTCCTGGAAAACAAACCCCCCACAAGCACATCAAACACATCAAAATCAATTATTTTACGACGACCGAAAAGTTGGCTTGCATCTCCATCACTCATTGCATAAACATTTCTACCACGTATACCCACAAGAAACCTGTTAGTAGTCCCCGGAATGCAAAACGTTCACGTGCACATCAAACACATCAAAATCATTTATTTTACGTCGACCGAAAAGTTGGCTTGCATCTCCATCACTAATTGTATCAACATTTCTACCTCGTATACCCACAAGGGAATCTTTTAGTAGCTCCTGGAAGATGGCGATACACGAATTTAGTGCTTTTGTAGTCACCCGTCGTTTTTCCGCCCAGTGGGGCGGTTTAGAACTACTCACCGTGCGGGCGGGCGGGCTCCGCTGGGCGCCGGGGCGGCTCCTGCCGCAGGCGCTCGAACGCCGGCGCTGGCCGCTGCTGGGGCGGC